TACGTACGTACGTACTACGTACGTACGTACGTACGTATACGTATAGTATAGTATATATATATATATATATATATAGAGTAGAGAGAGAGAGAGAGAGAGAGAGAGAGAGAGAGAGAGTAATGATCCTATGAGACCCTTCCATACCCATATGTGTAGGACCCCAAAAGATCACCATTAAATTTAGCACAGATCTCTTGAAAAGCTTTCACATAGGTGTGGGACTTGATTTTTTTAGGGATCTGTGCCAAATTTAATGGCGATCCTTTGAGGTTGTACACACATGGATGTGGGAGGGTCACATAGGATCATTACTCATATATATATATATGTGCAAGATACTACAAAACGCCTATAGGCGAAAATGAACAGTGATTTCGCTTACCCTCATCACCTTCCAAAGTTCATCGCACGGTCACGATTGTCCGGTAGTGTTTCATTTTTCATATTTTTTTACAAATCGAAATGATCTGAAAGTTGGAACATGTGTTAATAAAAAATAGGTGAATCTACGAAAAATATCAAAAAAATATTTTACATAAAATAAATTGACCAAAATACCCCCGAAAAGTTTCAAGAGTATTTTGGTCAATTTTTTTGGCTAATTTTTTTTTTATATTTTTATTAGGTGTGTCTCACTAAGATGTACACACGTTCCAAAATTCAGATCATTCCGATTTGTAGAAAAGACAAATGTAAAATGAAACACTACCGGACAATCGTGACCATGCGATGAACTTTGGACGGTGATGAGGGTAGGTGAAATCACTGTTCATTTTTGTCTATAGGGGTTGGGAAGACTCTTCTATATATATATATATATATATATATAGGTATTATCTGTTTTGGGATCCACTTTAGGATATCACTAAAATGGGTATTTCATAGGTATTATCTGTTTTGGGATCCACTTTAGGATATCACTAAAATGGGTATTTCATAGGTATTATCTGTTTTGGGATCCACTTTAGGATATCACTAAAATGGGTATTTCAAAAACTAAATAAAAAGGATTTTTAGTTCTTAAACACTTAGATTTGGCGGTCTATGTGCAATTGTAGGGCGTGATTTTTTTTTTTTGTACAATTCTTCGTGTTCTCTTTTAGGTGGGTTGCTAGTTTGAGTAGGTCACATCCCTAAAATTTGTGGTACAAAAATACTCCTGGCTAGGGTTTTGCTTGAGGGAGCAAATGTACGTTCGTTCCCCCGTAGGTGCCTATAATCTTTTCAGTATCGATGTAATTAATTTGATAATTTGATTAGGTTGGGTCTCATGCTGATGTGATTGGATCTGAGTTCTCTCTCTCTCTCTCTTGAGTTTGTTGTTATGTATCAACTGCAGATTCCTGGCTCTGCCCCATCCAAGCCTTGGGATCTACAAGTGTTGTATTGAATTGGAATCAAACCTCGCATCGCTAGGCGATGGTCGCTCTCTTCAAAATGCTCGCAAATTGCATGAGTCTTGTCTCAGTTTCTATGGCCAAAATGCTGGATTGTGGCGGGATTATTATTTTTTGGAGTTAAAGGTGAGAACTATTATATTTCCTTTTAGTTTTTTTCTTGTACTGTGGAAGTTCCACATTTTATCTTAGTTTCTCCCAATGACTGATGCCGTTCATGGCTGGAAATTGCCTAAGCAGGTGGGAACACCCAAAACTGCTAGTGCGATTTATTGGCGGGCAAAGAAGACTCTCTTTGATGCCAGTGAGTTGTTCCAGCCGTGCCATCCTTGATGTTCTCTAATGCCGGCTAGTCTTGTATTCTGTCACTTTCTCATTTTTTATTTATTGAGGGATAGTTTGTAATCTAGAATGCTGAAAATTAAAAAAATTGGAAAAGAGAAGTCGAGAAATTGTCTTTGATAAATAAGCATATATTTTTTCAATCAAGTTAGGCCCTCTCTCTCACACATGCACACAAAGACACACACACACCCATGCACAGGCACACATTACATTTCGTGTCTGGCTTCTTGAAGGGAGGGCTAGCATGAAAGAACTTCCAGTAATAGGCTATTACTGGTATCTATTTTGGAGCTCTTACTTCAGTGTAGCTAGACTTGCCTATATGAGCCAGGGGTTTCTATTACAGTATGAAAAGGTGAGTAAAGACAGTGAGCACTGGCAATGGAGGAAATGAGATGCCAAGTCTGTACGCAAAAGATGGTATTCACATATTTCAGGTTTTGGGAATACCTTGTTCACATATGAAGAATGATCAGATGCAGGTAAAATTGTCATAAGCCGAAGTTTTCCGCCTTCAACATTATGACTCTCGATAAGGTGAGCTAAGGCTCCAAAGATTGAGGACCCTATGTATCAAGAGGTCGATGCATTGAAATGTGTTCTTAAACTATTGTTCTAATGTCATATAATTAACATTTAATAATTGATATTGCCTTGGGAGAACTTTCACTGCTGTTGTAGGTAGTTTCATTGATTTGACCAGTTTATTGTGATGCTGGAAAGCTCTCAAATTTATCATCTCAACCTCGAGATGAATAGATATACATTAAAAAAGAGAAAAATTCAAGTGCTAACAATGGTGCATCCTGAATGTGTTGTTTGGAAGGTTTATTATCACAATTTTAAAGTCTTATACATATTTGCGTGATTTATATTATTTTTTGATATAGTTTGTGTGATTTTTATTTTTTGAACTTTAAATTTCATAATTAGAAGTGAAATACATTTTCAGGCCATCATAGGGGTTTTTAGCATTGGAATTGCATTTATATAAGGTTGACACCTTACATAAAGCCCACCCTTTAGTTAAATCAGCACATCCATGCGTCGTCTTTTATGGATTGAGGCGCTTTAGTTAATTTTCCTTTGTACATATACATCCTTGCATATAAAAGAGGTAAAATTTTATACAACATTGGGGGACATTTGGTAACTCGCAATTTACTTGGGTTCTCATGCTAACTTCGATGAAGATTTGGGGTAAATGAAAACTAGTGGCCTGAAAATTGGGAACTGTTTCGTAACCTGAGTGAATTCTCTGCATTTGCAATTTTTCTTGTTTCGTAACTTGGAAATTGCATGTTTTTAGTTGTTCATAATGTAATTCATCGATAAAATGTGGGAATTATTTTAAAATGATATTTTTTTAGTTATAACACATAAATGGCATCACTTACAAAATAGCTAGTTCAGTAAATTATTATTCCAGTTGCCAGAAAAGACGCTAACCCATACTTTCTCTTGAGGGATGCAGTTCAAGACATTCTTAGGAACCAACTGATATGATAATATCCTTAAGACTTCCACTAAAATATTCACTTGATACAACGGTATCTTTATTTAGGGATGAAAGTGGGTAAAAATAAATAAATGCAGTTATGAATTCTCATTTGGAAAGCTCTTTGGGCATTGGAACTCTCCGTAATGACTCTAAAATCAAATTTAAAATCAATTTTCAATGCCGACTATCAATTTTGAAGCTCAGAAAAATGGTTAAGATCTTGCGGATAAGTGAACTCTTTATTTTTTTGGTGAAATGGATGGTCTAAGATTATTTGTTACAAAACACGTGTAGGATCATCAAGCTATTTCTACTAAAACACAAGTGTGATTCCCCCTAAAAAATGAAATACAATGACAGGAGGATTGTATTTAATAGTTAATATCATTCGCCATCACCTGAATCTCAAGGCACTCTTTGAATCAATCATACTTTATTGAGATAAGTAAACCATATTGAGATAGGTAAACCAAAGAGATTCCCCGTCCGAGAACCATATATGAAAATTTTATATTTATTATTTTTTGAGCTTGAGATCTTAATATTTTTTTCACAATCATAATTATCAAGGCCGAGATGATCGATTTGAAGGATTTCTGACTTCAAAAATACAATTTTCAGTGAGAAGAGGCCTTATTTATTTTGATAGGGCAACCACCAAAAAAAATGTGGACGATTAAATTGGAAACATACTAGAAACTCAAAAATTTAATCTAGTAATGTCTTTGCAGTATGGCAAAATAAGGAGCCTAGCACAAAAGAAACACAAAATTGATATTTTGTATGAACTTATGAAATATTGACATGTGTTTCCTAGGGTCGAATATTGACATGTTTATCAATACTTCTAGGTTATGACACCCCTTTTGAGTGTCGAATGGCTTGTCCCTTTAATCGGACAAATTTCATTTTTAGAATGTGGTGTTTCTTGTTTCAAAACACCATTCTTCAATAATTTCAAAAGTAAAAGATCTTTTAGAATAAAATAATAAAAAATTATCCGTGTTTATACTTGTCTATTTTAGGAAGGTATAGTTTGCATAAAGTTGTAACATTAGACAATTCAATTAAAGCGCACCTCCAAATTTTATTATAAGATGTAATTTTGATGTCAAAATTTTTAGGATTGCAGAAAAATCTATTTTCATCTCTAATTATAAAATTTTAAATTTAAAAAATAGTTCAAATTATAATATTTTGAACTCCAAAAAAAAAAAAATAGTTTAAATCAGTAGATCTATAAACAAAAAAATAATCTTGAAAATAGACTGTTTAGATAATGTGCTGCTGCAAGTGACTGAGACTTGAAATCTACTTCTGTTCTTATGCGTTGAGATGATCAATTAGAAAGTTATTTCAATATTAAAACAATCTTTTTTTGAAGTGCACCTTAATTCTACATTTACGTTGTCCAACGTTATATAAACTTTTTCCATTTTAGAATGTCAGTTCTTTGTAGATATTTTAATATTTTTTTCAAAATATAAAAACTAAAGCCCATTTTCATTAGTATATTTTCACAATATTCCTGAAAAGCCACAACCGAAGGTACCCATGGATAGTGCGTAACAGCAAATAGAATATCTGTGGACCGCTTGCTTATTGTAGCTTTCGCCTCAATTATGGGAAAGTTAATAGTAACCTGAAAAGCGAGGAAAAATATTTTCCCTGCTTTCCCAGGATCGAGAAAAGCTAGGAAACATGAGAGGATTTTCACTGGTTTCCCCGATTTCCAAACGACCCTAGGCATTTGCGAGATTTCAAGAAGAAAGGTTACATACAGAGTGCCTTTAAGTTCTTAAAGTGCCAAATACTAGTGTTGCATCCTGAAAATATTTGACACATAAAACTATGCACACCCGTCTTCATGTGTCTATCTATAGACCCAAACTCACTATCCAGAGAAACAGGGGTAACATCTGACCAGTGACCGATACAATAACAACCATATAAGAGGCTTCTTTAGATGAAGAACTCAAAGCTACACTATTTGAGTGCGAGGATTTCAAAACCACAAGACCATCAGCACCTGATTTAGGGCAAACCCATGATTACATCATTCTTGAGGTATCTTTAGGAGCCAAAATTTGGGAATGTAATCTCCTCAACCCATAATCAACCTCACAAAAGAAAACGAAATTCATACGCAATCTGTGTCCCTAGAAGGTTTACAAACTCAAAATCGAATCCCTTTGTCTTGAAAATACTCATATGGTGATTCCAGAGTGATCCTAAAATTTCAGATCAAGAGAATCCTCCTAAGCAATTCATTTCGCAAAGGAGTATGTATACAATGTGCCCCAGGAGGAGTACGCTATAAGTGCTAACATGACAATACTTTGTCTTGACAATGAGTTGGACAAGGTAGAATCCAATCCTCCTTCCCATGTCAAAACACTTTGATCAGAAGATGTAGTCTGGTAACTCGAGGGGAAACTGAGCTACTTCGGCATCAAATTGTCCACCTTGGGGATTGTTCAGCCTAGTAAAACCAATACATACAAAGATAACTGTTTAGAATCTTCCACAATCTTCCACACGAGTCGTAAGGAGCTTGCAGACAACCATTTTAGAAACATTAATTTGACATTTATAACAGTTTGCACCCACCCACACACAGATTGATTTACTTTTTGAGGCACATACCTGCCGGGAACAAATGTGAAAGATCCTTCTATAGACCCCGAAGGCAGCGGTGATGAGGTGCAACTCTGATATACAAATTCTTTACCACCTTCACGCAAGAGAGGATGCTGCTCTTCCCACACATGCACACAGAGAGAGAGAGAGAGAGTTGGCTAGGTTTTATTCATAGAATAACATAGCTGAGAAAAAGTTGGTATGCATACCTTTCCAATCACAGCTTTATCGCTAACATCAGATATGATTGCATCATTTGCACGGATAATCCAATGCCGCCAATAGAGTTGGCAAGAGCTCATAGGGTTTCCACTAGAGTTTTCAAGAGGTAGCAAGTGCATTCGAATAGAATAGGAAAATAAATACTTGTTCATTGGCTGGTCAAGATCGCTCAACTCCGGGACAAACACAGCAGAGGCCCGAACCTGAAAAGAAGTAAGAAAGGCAGGTTTTTAAATCATAGAGAAGGTTCACAAATAGGGAATTGACAGAAAAGGACAAAATTGGAGACAATTAGGCTTTTAAGCTCTTTTTATCAGGAAATCACTCTAGATCTCCTGCCAATACTGTAGTTTTGTAGTAATTCAGATTTGATATAGAAGAGAAAAGCTATCACGAAGAAAGGAAAAACGTGTTATGCAATATGAGAATCCTGTCCTCTGGTGGGTCTTACTCTTTCCCATCATTACATTGGATGGTGATGACCCTAGTAGACCATAGTCATTGCATTATGCATACTTTACCACAAAACAAACCACTTAACTGACAAATTCTAAGGGGAAAAGAGCCATGGGTTCTTGCCAACCTGAACTCCTCGGGTCACTGCAGTGGAGCACAATGGTGGTGTCTCTGGATATAGACATATACTTCTAGCATTGTTCTCCTCACGAACCCCAATAACACCACTTTGCAAGCGCCTAGCAAATTCTTCAAGCCATAGTAGCATCCCATCTTGTTGATCACCGCTATCAAGAGCATGCACAGTATTTACCAAGGCACCAGGCACACATGCCATCAAATTTATATCTACCTTACGATATTTTGTGTTAACATAGAGTAAACCATCCGTGCAATCGAGGAAAAATATCTTCCTCAGGTTACAGGAAGAGGCAACAACAATGAGTTTTCGCTTTCTAGAGAATCTAATGCGGCGAGTAAGATGCCTGGTTTGAGTGACAATTTCATTCAAGGGCAGCAGATGCACATCAACTGAATAGTCATAAAAGCAATAGCCTCCAATGAGGCCCAATAAGCATGGATCTTCCTTGAAATCTGAAAAACAACGCCCAGTGTCCTGTCCATTACAGAAACGATAAAACACACGTGTAGGAAGAGGGAATTTCACTCCAAGGGCTTCCTCAACCGCTTCTAATTCAGCCTCAGATGCACCTTTCTGCAAAGTACTTGCAGCTTCTTGGAAATTCTCTGACACCCAAGTTTTGATAGCATCCAAACAAAGTTTGACCCTCCTTACAAGAGGCCATGGATACATACCAAATTCTTTGTTCCACAATTTGTATGCCTCCTGCATAGAAAAATTCATACATTTGCTGAAAGCTTGCCATTGCGGTATGAGATAAGCTCAACAATTTTTTTCTTTCTTTGAGAATCTTAAAAGAAAAAAGTAACAGACACGATACATAAATAATATGCTAGACTGCTAGGCACATGATACACAAGAATAAGGTCTAAGAAGCTATTGTTTTCTCATCCAAATATAATTTCTTTCATAATCCGGGACATCAAATCTTTGATCTCAACACTTTTGAGGGATAAAATGAGTCCTCCAGCATTTTAATAAATTTTTTTTTTTTCGTTTGGTTGTTCTTTTTTTTTTTCCTTCGGTTGTCTATTTTTTTTTGTGGTGGGGTTGGGGGAGTTTGAGTCAAAACAGACTCCTTTCATTTTTCTTTTGATAGATCGAGAGACAAACAGAACCTACCCTTGTGTAGAACATCAAATGAACAAATTTTAAAACCCACAGTTGTCAAAAAAAGCCAAAGAGGATTTCATACAGTTCCTCTACAAATTGTACAAGCATTGTATGTTAGAGAATTTTTTCCTTTTAGTGATTAAAGAGAATATTAAGTACCAATTAACTCATTCTAAACCACAATACTCACAAAGAAAAGCAATTACCTCTGTCTTGATAGC